GTCAGAGTCTTGCTCTGTCTCCCAGGCTGGAGTGCAGTGATGCAAACATGGCTCACTGAAGCCTCGAACTCATGGGCTCAAGGGATACTCCCACCCTAGCCTCTTGAGTAGCTAGGACTGCAGGCATGCGCCACCACACTGGCTAATTTTTTTATTTTTTGTAGAAACAGGATCTCACTATGTTACACAGGCTGGCCTCAAATTCCTGGGCTCAATCTATCCTCCTGCCTCAGCCTCCTAAAGTGCTGGGATTATAGGTACGCACCACCATGCCTGGCCTGTGTGGTTCTCTAAAAGATAAGGACTTTAAAAAACATAACCACGATATTATCATCACACCTAGTAAACATCAATTTAATATCATCTAATATAGGCAATGTCCAAATTTCCAGTTATCTCATAAATATACGTTCCATTTGTTTGCGTGTTTGATTTTACAGGATGTTTGAACCAAGGGCCAGAGGAGCTTCACGTCTGCCATTAATCGGTATACTTTTGAGGTTTCTCCTGCTCTAGGTCCATCCTTTTTCCATATCAATTTTTTCTCCAGTCAACTCGTCCCTTGAAAAAAGTGGTCATTACTGCCGGAGATTCCTCCAGTCCAGATCTTGCGGATGGCGTCCCCTGGTGTCGTTCAGGGTGATGCTCTGTCCTCTGTCTTTCTTATGTGCTCACAGCTCGGTCTAGAGGCTTGATCTGATTCAGGTTCAATTGCTTTGGCTTCGGGTGAGGGTGTGTTCTTCTAGAGACGCTCACTGTCTGCTGGCCTCTCAGTGGGAAATTCTGGGCTGGTGCGGCTCAGTGCCTGGAGCCATTCATTCATCAGGGACTGCAAATTCTCCTGTGAAATGCTTCTACAAAAAAGAAGCTTCCCCTCATCAACTTTCGGTTACCCCGAGGTACAGTTTATATAGGACAGGCAGGATAAATGCTTGATTCTTTCCCTTTATTTACCAGTTTTCAGAATAATGAGTCGCCTATAAATATTTGAATGAATGGATGAATAATACATGTGTGAATGAACTGATGGGGGTGTGGGAGTTGGGGGTTCTGTCACCCTCAAGGGTGTGGCCGTGGACCACAAGCTGACAGCAGAGGTCCAGCCCGAAGCCAGGTGCCTTTCTACACAGTGGGGTGCAGCCCGTGGCCAGGTCCCTGTCTCCACCAGGGGCTGGCAGCTGCCTCTGCCACCCATCAACCCACCTCAGTCAAAAGCTAGGTGATCAGAAGCTGCATTACTAAGACTCTAGCATCAGGGACAAGGGAGTACCATCACTCTCCCCGACTGAGATGTGAGGAATCCTTGAAACCAGCATCGGAGCGGAGAGGAGAGCCGCGCAGTGAGTGCAGCGGTGGCCTTCGGAACGCGGCGTTGATCTCTCCGCAGGAAGGGGCATCAAGGAGTTTCTGGCCTAAAGGTTAGGCTGGTGGCCTCCAGGGTTTCTTCCTGGGCCCCTCCTGGGAGGCTCTCCTTTCCCCAGAGGCCAGGCCAGGCTGCCCACAAGCTCTCTGACATCTCTGCCCTCTCGGTGTGTCCCCAGGTGCAAGTGCAACCTGCATGCCAACCTGTGCTCCATGCGAGAGGGCAGCCTGCAGTGCGAGTGCGAGCACAACACCACCGGCCCCGACTGCGGCAAGTGCAAGAAGAATTTCCGCACCCGGTCCTGGCGGGCCGGCTCCTACCTGCCGCTGCCCCACGGCTCTCCCAATGCCTGTACGTGCCACTCCCTGGGGCCACAAGCCTGCATGACTGTAGTCTTCCCCGCCCATCCATCCCAGGAGCTGTGGATCATACACACACGCACACATACCTGCACACAGGCACATACGTGTGCACATGCATGCACATGTGCACGCAGAAACATACGAGCATGCATGCACAGGCATGGGCATACATAGAAATGCACAAACACGTGCATGCACAGACACACACATGCATGCATGCCCCACACACACACACTTTGTTCTACAGCTCCCAAGCACCAGGTCTTGTAACATGTCCCTCTAGCATACCTGCATCCTGCGGAACGCTAAGCTGCCCTTCCAGCCCTGGTCCGCAGGGAAACCCGAGATGAGCAGCATTTCTGTAGCCCTTCCCCTTCTTAACCCTGACACCTGGCAGGAGGCCCCCGTGGGATGGCAGGGAGTGATGAGGTGGGACCCCCACTTCAGGTGAGGGGATCAGTAGTATCATCCCTGATCATGAGCATCTCTGGGGTGTTTGGAGCAAGCCACAAAAGCCAAGTGCTGCGTGTTCAGCACTTCCTCCATCCTCAGAGCAACCCCTGGGAGCTGAGCTCCTGTCATCCCATTTTACAGATGTGTCCTCTGTGGCCTGCACCAGAGTCCCCCGCACGTGCTCTCTGCCCACCCCTCTCCTGTCCTCGCCCAGCCATGCCAGGGAGCCATCCTCAGGGTCTGCCCACTCGCGTCTGCATCATAGTCCCCCTTCGGAGGACCCCCACTCAGGAAGCCCCTGGGCTGCAAGTGGAGAAGGCCACAGACTGCCCCTGGGGTGGGCTCTCCCTGACCCCCACCGTTGCCACTTTACAGATGCTGGCCGTTCTCAAGTGCGTGGTTGGTGCCCAAGGCCCTCCTGGGCACTTTGTGTATCTCGCTTCCACCTCACACAGCCCCACAGGGCGCAGTCCTTATTTATGGTCCATTGTCCAGATGAGCAGACTGAGGCCCAGTGAACCTCGGGGCCCTCCCAGGTTTCACAGTCAGTTGCGTGCCAATGCCAGGGTTTAGGGCAGCTACTGGATCTGATGCCCACACCAGGCCTGGGCAGTGGGCTCCTGCACCCCATCTGGATATCCTCCCTCGACGGGTGGAAGATTTATGTGACTTTAGGCTGATCAAAGCTGAGAGCCATGTGCAGAGGCCATGACAGGCGTGTCACACGTGTGCTGCAGCAGGCGGTGAGACAGGCCTTTGAAGGGGTGACTTGGCAGGCACCAACCAGCACTCTCGGGTCTTCAAAGGCACAAAGAGCGCTCCGGGGGCTGACAGCCCACTCCAGCCACTGCCTCCTCCCAGCTTGCCGTCCTCATCTCTTTGTGGTCCAAACCCTTTCCTGAGGTCTCTCTTTAGTGGCCGTCACTCTCTCCCTGACTCACAAATTGGCTTCCCCTTTGTCTATCCTGAGGGCCTCTCTCCCTTCCCTCCTCTCTGCCTCCGTTCTCTCCATCATCACGCCCTCCTTTTTTTTTTTTTTTTTTTTTGTTAGAGATAGGTTTCTCACTCTGTCGCCCAGGCTGGAGTGCAGTGGCGCAATCATGGCTCACTGTAACCTCAACCTCCTGGGCTTAAGCGATCCTCCACTTCAGCCTCCCAAGTAGCTGGGACCACAGGTGCATGCCACCAGGCCCGGGTAATTTTTGTGTTTTTTGTAGGGAAAAGGTTTTGCCATGTTGCCCAGGCTGGTCTCGAGATCCTGAGCTCTAGTAACCCTCCTGTCTTAGTCTCCCAAAGTGCTGGGATTACAGGCATGAGCCACCATGTCTGGCCATTTCTGACTTTTTTCTTCTTCCACTTGCCTCCTGCATCTGGAGGTTCTGCAAGGCCTCCCTCTGCCCGTCTCTGGCCACCTGAGACACTTAGCTGCAGGTCACACCTAGGAGGATCCACTGTCCCCACCCTCACCACCACTCACCACCACCGGTCTAGCCAGCGATGGACAGACAGGCCTGTAAGGGCTGCGCAGCTGGTGCTTCCTTATTTAGGGGAGACTCCTGGGGCTGGCCCCACCTCCTGCTTCCCTGGGAGTCCCTGGGAATTGCCTTTGAGGCCCCCAAGCCCCAGGAAGGAGGGGTTTCTTCTGATATTTGCAGGCGCTGCTGTCCTCAGCACCTGGGTCTCCTGCCTTCTCTGGGGCACCAACAGGAAATAGCCCAAGGAGACACAGAGGCTAATTTTGCCCTCACCCTGCCCCTGCCGTGACCCCTCCTCAGTAAGTGGCACTGACACACACGGGGCCAAGCTGCAAGTCTCGGGGTCACCTTGACTGGAGACCCTCCTCCCCCCACGTTCTTCCAACTTCCCTCCATCCCCCCAGGTCTCTCCCAATGCCACCCTCAGCCCTGCAGCAGCCCTCACTCCCAATGTCTTCCCACCTCCTTACCCCTCTGCCCCCACCTGGCCAGCCCATCATCACCCTCCAGGGCCCAACTTAGAGGCCCCAGGACCTCCCTGTGCCCTGCCTGATGTCCCGCCTGTCCCCACGGAGCCTCACTTGGTCACCACCCAGTCCTGGTGGTGCTTACTGTGGCTGCGCCCCGAGGTGTCCTCAGGGTCTAGCAGATGCCTGCCCAGACACGGAGGTGGAAGAAGGAGTGGGTGGGGATAGGCTCGTCCTCCCAGGCCCAGGAGAAGTCCATGAGCCACACGTCCCACTGCTGATCCCACAGCGTCCTTTCTTGGGAACACTGTGGAGAAAGCTGTGGCACCAGCTCCTTCCTTTTGCAACTGGGATGAATCTCACCCCAGGATTTCGAGGCCCCTGGTCACACCAGGATCATAGGCCTCCCCCATCCCCTGGACACACAGAGATACCCAGATTCGAGTCAGGCCTCGCCCACTCCCAGCTATATTTCTCCCCCAGCCACGTGTCCTCAGCTGTAGAATCAGGACCGTAAGGAAACTCCCTCATGGGGTTCTTATGAGGATGGCACGGTTCATGTAGGGGATGCTGACACCGTGCCTGGCACGTGGGACGCACACCACCTGTGACGGCCGTTCCCGTGGTTTCTCAGCGAGTTTTCCAGCCACACTGCACTTCTTAGACAGGAACACTCCATACAATGTCTTTGTCCTGCACTGGAGGCCCAAAAATCTAAAATAGGAGTGTGTATGAAGCTCCCAGTGGAGCGTTTGGCACCTGTCAGCATGTCCCCAAGGGCAAGTCACCGCTCTGAGATTCAGTGTCTCCATCTGCAAAATGGGCCAATAGTGGTTCCTCCCTCCCAGGGCTGCAGTGAGGATGGAACTGGATAATCCACCCCGGTCCCCACACCCTGGAGGTCATCATTGCTAGCAGCTGTGTGGTGCAGCAGGTGCTCTTGAGGGAGGAGCACCTCCAGGCCCTCCCCTGCCCTGCTGGCCCCTCTGCAGGGAGGCGACAGCCAGGCCCCTTCCCCTGGGGCAGCCAGCTCACGCCCCTCTCTCTCCCGCAGGTGCTGCTGCAGGTTCCTTTGGCAGTAAGTACACGCCCAGGGAGGGCGGCCAGGGCCCCTCTTTGCATGTCCTGGAAAAAGCAGGAGAGAAAAAAGGGGCTTCGGTGTCCCCTCTGGGACTTGGGCCTATTCACTCCGTCCTCTAATTACGCCCCATCTGCTTCTCCACCTCTCCCCCCTCCACCTCTCCCCTCCACATCATATGCCATGTGTCATGTGTCATTTTGCTGTGGCCTGCTGTCCAGCAAGTCTCAGGCTCTCCCAGGAGCTCCATCAGTGCTGCTTTGGAAAACGGGACAGGACCTTTTGCAGGTCCCTTGGCCCCAGGTGGGCTCCCTGCTCCTCCTGCCGCCCGGGCCTCTTCTCTCACCTGGATCTGGGAGAGGAGTCTCTCCTGCCAGGCAAGAGTGGGGTGACCTTCCCCCACCAGGGGCAGAATCCACCCCCCAGCCTGACCGTGGGGGCAGCCTCCCTCTGAGCAGCCTCTGTAGCCAGCTTGGCCCGGGGCTCTGCTCGTCCAGGTCAGCTCAGGTCCCAGGGGAGTCGGACCAAGGAGGGGCATCCGCAGGAGGTGGGGGTCCTGAGAGTTCCCCAGGAGGGTGAGGGCGACATGGTGCCCGCAAGTTATCAGTGAATGTCATCGAGACTGTCCCCAAACACTCACAGGGCGCCAGGCACAGTCTCTCATTTCAGCCTTGCAAACCCCTCCCCCTGGGAGGTCGCCATCTGCTCCGAGAGGCAGCAGGAAAGGACTGGCCACTGTCAAAGAGCCAGCCAGGAGCAGACCCCAAATCTCAGAAATGCTTCTGGGGTGCACTGTCAGCCTCCGCCAGGGCTCCGTGGGGCCCCACATCCCACCCACATTGTCCCTCCAGGACCCAGAGGGCCCCTGGCTGGGAAGCCAATGGGCCTAGAGGGCGCCAGGGACGCTGGCCTGCACAGCCGTCGTAAGTTACTTCTCTGTAGTGTCCCCACCTCAGCAACCCCCCCCACCCTCTCTTGCTTTTCCCATCTCTCACCAGGCATCAGCAGGTCCCAGAAAGACCCCGACCCCAAAGGCCCTGTGGCCACTGTGGCCACCACAGCCATGACAGGGGCTCCCACTACTCCTGTCCCTTCCACGTCCACTGCCTGGGCCCCCACGGCTCCCAGCACCCTACAGCCCACAGGTGGGTGCCAGGGTACAGTGACCCCTGCCATCCCACCCTCTCCTGCTTCTAGCCTGGGTCCCCGCCTCTCTTGGGGTGGGAGGGTCGGCAGCCCTGTGCGGGAGAGCAGGGGCTTGGCTCTTAGAATAGAGACGCTGCAACCCTAGAGCGGGGAGGCCACAGGCCAAAGGGGCTTCCAGGTCACCTGGGTCAACCTGTTCCTGAGCCCAACCAGGGGATTCAATGGTCAGTTCAGCTTCCGAAATCGTCTTCCTCCTGCCCTTCAAGCCATTGCTTAGAAGGTCTCCCAGACCAGTGTGGCCAGACAGCTGCAGGAACTGGGAGGAAAGGTGCTGGGGGCAGCAAGGCCATCCTGACATGCAGCCAAAGACCGGCCTTGTCTCCCAGTGGTGCTTCTGCCTCCACGGTTGCTGGAGTCCCGCCCACACCCTGCCCCCACTTGGCCCCCAGGGCCTCTCTGTCCTTAACCCCTCAGCAGCGCACCGGTGGGATGGATGGAGCAGGGTTAGCCCAGAAAGCAAACGTCTCTGATCAGCAGGCCAGAGGGAGCCTCTGGAGTTGGGTTTGGCTGCTGGGAATGTGGGGACTGCGTATGTAGCGCAAGGCCAGGCCAGGGCCAGACGTCCTGCCCCCTCAGGGGTCTGCCACAGACAAGCATGGAAACCTGATTCTCACTCCCCTCCGAAGGAGGGATTCGCATACATTCAAGGCTGGGGGTGCTGGGGTGGGCCTCTGCTCTCACCTGGACTCACCTTGGGAATGTCCCTGGACTCGGCGCACTGCAGGTGCCAGGGGTCTGAAAGGATTCTTCCTTCCCAGAGGGCTCCAGGAAGACAATGACCAAGGGGAATTCTTCCTGGTCCCAGCCGGGGAGGGGTGCCCCAATAACCTGCCATATCCTGTCCCCCACCTCCCTGCAGGGAGGACCCGGTGGGGACTCCTGACCCCTTGGGTAGTGCCCTGGCCCTCCCTCTCTCTGATCCAAGAGGACCTGCCCCACTGCTCCTTCCCCCTGGAGGGGTGGCATTTCTGAAGGGCAGAGTCCCCTCCGTCAGCTCCTGCCTTGGCCTGTTGCTGCGTGGGCACTCAGGCTCCCCAGGCGGGGGCAAATGCTGAGAGAAAGACCTCCTCCTTCCTAGGCCATCCAGAGCGGCTCCCCTGGGGGCAGCACATCCCACTTCTTTCTACATCCTTCCCTTTCTGCACGAGGCATTTACAGGAGGCAGGGGTAGCCAAAAGATTGGAGGATTTCAGGGAAGCCTCCTGGCCCAGGAATCCTCCTTGGGGTGGAGGACGTGGGTCACTCTGAGAATTCTGGACTTCAGACATAGGTTGGCCCAGCCACAGGGGAGCTGTGCTTGGCTACTGAGCCTGTGGTGGGCAGACAGAAGCAAAAACAGTGGTGGTGGGTGCTGTGCCTGCCTCCAAACAGTGGTCCGGCTGGGAGGCCAGATACTCTCCATATCATATGTGCAAGTGTACACACGCACACACACACGCATGCACACACACGTACACACACACGCATGCACACACACATGCATGCACACACACATACACACACACATGCATGCACACACATGTACACACACACATGCATGCACACACACGTACACACACATACATGCACACACACGCACACACATGCATGCACACACGTACACACACATGCATGCACACACACGTACACAAACACACGCACACACACACAGAGGAGCCTTGAATCCATTTGCGGAGCTGCTTCTGACTTGGTGCCAGGGCAGCCGTGGGAGGCTGGGCAGATTGTGCAAAGTTGGGAATTAAAGAGGAAAAGTCAGAGGCCGGAGTGGTAAATGTGGGGGAGGCAAGGATCCCCAGGATCCCCTCGGGGAGCAGAAGGCACACCCTCCCTCTCAGCAAGACAGTGTTGCTCTGCACCCTCAGCCCTGTGTCAAGAAGCGGGACATTGGGGAGGAGGTGCCTCCAATGTGACAGTCAGTGGCCCCCACGGCCCACATCTAGGGGCTCCTCCCTCCTCTTCAGCAACCGAAGCCCCTGTCCAGAGCCCCCATTAATAAAAACGATCATTGCAGTTGCTGAGGGTGAGTTCTCCCAGGCTAAAGGCTGTGCTCCTATCATCGTATCATTATATTCTGGGGTCACAGCTCTGTGAGATGGAGGCTGTTATTTTCCTAGTCCCACAGGTGAGGGGAATCGAGGCTTAGGAAGACGCAGCTGGATTTTATGATATGTAAATTATACCTGAATCAAACTGTTTCAGAAGAAAAAAAAAGAGGCAGCTGCCCGACGTCCCGGGATTATGGAGAGGCACAGGCAGGATTTGAACTCAGGGTGCGCCAACTCAGCCACCCAAAGCTGTTACCCTGAGGCCTCCAGGGGCTATGCTTTCATGCTTTCTTGCTTTCTTGCTTTCTTTTTCTTCCTTTTCTTCCTTTCCTTCCTTTCTTTCCTTTCCTTCTTTCTTTTCTTTCTTTTCTGATGGAGCTTCGCTCTTGTCGCCGAGGCTGGAGTGCAATGGTGCGACCTCAGCTCACCACAACCTCCGCCTCCCGGGTTCAAGCAATTCTCCTGCCTCAGCCTCCCAAGTAACTGGGATTATAGGCACCCGTCACCGGGTTCAGCTAATTGTTGTCTTTTTAGTAGAGACGGGGTTTCACCATGCTGGTCAGGCTGGTATCGAACTCCTGACCTTAACTGATCCACCCGCCTCAGCCTCCCAAAGTGCTGGGATTCCAGGCGTAAGCCACCGCACCCGGCCAGGTAGTGCTATCTTTAAGGCCTGGCTTGCAGGGCTTCCCAGTTCCAAAGGAGCAGACCAGGCTTCCATGGGGCCTTGGCACAGCACACAGGCCTTGGCGAGAACTTGCTTCCTGCACACCTGAGTTGTGTCCCTGGGCAGCCCAGCCAGGACTCTTTCCCTCCCCAAGACCCTGGTACCTGAAAGATCCTGAATATCCCCGGACGCCTCTCAACAGGTGCTTTGGGCTCTTTGACCAGAGTCCAGCTGGGCCACTGAACTCCTGGGCCAGATGTTTCTCCCGCCTGCCAATGTCAAGCTGTCTGGAGGACAGCGCTGGGGGCGGAAAACGCCGCTGGAGACACTAATCCTCTCCTGGGCTGGGCCACGGAGGGTGGAGGGAGACAGACTCCGAAGCAAATGCCTTCAGGGCTGGCTTTCTCGTGGCTCTAATTAAGCCCTTGCCAATTTGGGCCTGGCGGCCTCATCTTCCCACTGAACATCGTATTAAAGTCAATTGATGTCCAGAGCTCTCCGCTCCCAGCTGGGAACTCTTCCGCCCTTGTTAGCTGGTAGCTTTTCCTTTTCTTTCCCCGCAGCCACCCTTGTGTATAATCCCTTCAAGAAGGAGAAAACAGCAGCCCTCCCCTGTCCCCCTGGGTTTGTCCTTGGAAATTTGGGCACAGGACAGTTCTTTGCCAGCCCTGCCTGCCTTCCTGGCTGGGGGTCCTGTTAGTCTAGGGGCTGAGCACGGTGGCATTTGGGGGCTGATTCATGCTGGGGTCCCTGGTGAAAATGGGCCCAGGCCAGGGGTCAGGGGTCAGGAAGGTAGAAGGGCAGTGATCAGGGAAGCAAGTCAGATGCTGGGGGAGGCTCCGGTCCCTGGATTGGGGCTGGACAGGAAGGAGGCCTTCCAGAACGCTTCCGGACACATCTAAGATCTTGGCCGGGACACGTGCCCCACTTTGCAGCCATTAGAGACATCAGCTCAGAGAGGTCTGGGCCCAGAGACGGGACCTGGTCTAGCTCTGTCCTTCAGTCAGAACGGGGATCACACAGGGAGTGTAGAAGGGTCTCACTGAAGCATATGCAGATCCTCAGGCATGAGGCCACCTCCCATCTATCCGGCTTGAAGTCTGTATGTGCCGTCCACAGACTGCAATAGTGTAGATGCTGCCTCTGTAGTAGATTTGGACCCAGTTCCTTTGGCCAATGTAGACAGAGCCTCTCCTGATAGTGCTGCTGCTTTAAGGGGCCTGTGGGGTGCGGGGCTGTGGTGCCTCAGTAAGTGCCCAGCTTCCCTCAGCACCACCCCCTCACATAACTTGGTTTCTTCTCTTCTTCCCCACAAGAGTGGACCAGGCCATCTACGGCTGCCTCTCTCTCAAGCAGGTGGTCCCAGGTGGCCGCCCGTGCAGAAGGTATGGGGGCAAGGCCTGTGATGGGCCTGAGACCCCGGGGAAGCGCCCTCTTAGACTCATAGGCCCCTCCCCCTGTAGTGGAAGTAGCAGGGGTGCGTGGTGGGGACCTGGGGTCGGCGGGGGGGTGGTGGCGCAGCAACCAACTGAGGGCACGGGTGTAGAATGTCGGTGCCTGGGAAGCTCTAGGGCATGGTGGTGAGGGAGCGGCCTGGTAGAGCAGGTCTACCCGCTCTGCCCCCAAACTTCACCTGCTTAGAGAAGTTCCATGTGGCACCGCCACGCCAAGCTCTTCCACCAGCACTCCATGCGAGGGCTTCGGAGTCGAGTGTAGGTCCTGCCTCCCATGACAGGAACCCCCCTTTCCAGCTCCCTCTTGCTCACAGGACACCAGGGCAGTTGCTGGATCACAGAGAGAGTCAGAGGGGGCTCCCTGCAGGAGCGGGGGCCATGAGACCTCAGAGGGTGGACTGTGGCGGGTGAAGGAAGAAGGTGGCATATTCCAGGCCGCAGGACCAGCCAGGGCAAAGGCTTGGCAGTGGGATGGCAGGGAGCCTGACAAAGTGGAAAATGTGTGGGTTAAAGGTGGGAGGGCGGGATCCTGGAAGACACTGACATCCTCCTGTTACACGGGAGGAGACGCACGGGCTCATCTGTAGCCGTAGACAGACACGCCAAGGAAACGCGCAGGCCTGCCTGACTCTCCAGAAGGGAAATGGTCCCTGGCCCCAGTTCACCAAGCCTGGGCTGGGAATTAGGGCCTGAGGTCTAGGGAACCGGTGAGCTGTTCCTCCAGCTCACGTGTTCAAATTCCCTCCAGCCCCAGCTCTGAGCAGCGAGCCGAGCTTTGAGCGCCCTCTACTGGCAGGAAGCTCTGGCGCTGGAAGCATATTTAGAGAGGGTCGGATGGTTGGTTCCTAGAAACGCGGAGGACCTGGGTCTGGTGTCCTCTGTGGTGATCGAGACAAAGCTGACGGGAGCCATCACTTCCCTGCCCTGGGCCCACCAGGCCGCCACAGACCCCCATGGGGAAGCCAAGGCAGTGACGCTTCCGGGACAGTGGCCTGCTCACGCACAGATAGGGCGCTGCGGCCCCGGTGGGATGCTGGGCAGGGCGTCGCTGTTCCTGGCTTGACAGCACTTGCGAGTGGGACTCCAGGGAGAGCGAAGGATTCACTTTGGCTGGAGCAGGAAGATTGTTTCAGAAAGGAAGGGAGATGCCAAAGTCCTTAAATGCCAGGTTTAGTCTCTGGGTTTGATGCTCCCGGAAGTTTGAAGAGGAGGTGGGGAGAGCAAGAGACAGGTGTGCAACACGCTATCAATCCGTCTAAAAGCCGTTCGGCTTCCAAGAAGGCCTTAGCAGGGCGCGGGGGGTGTCAGGGGTTACAGAAGTCATTTGGGGGAGTAATCCAGCCAGATGTGTCCATGGTCTCAGAGAGGGGACCAAGGGCAGGGCTAATTTGCGAGCTCGGGATGTGCTGTGTTTCCTTCAGGAAGGGGCCCCATCTCCCTGGGCTCTTCGAGGAGAGGGGCTGTGTGATTTGAGGCCAGAGGGGCCTCTCCCTCCCTCATTTCTGAGCAGGCGACAAGGCTGCCTGCCCTAAAGCTGGCCCAGGGCCGCTTGGAAGCCTTTGCTGGGCTCTTCCCTGGGCAGCGGGACCATGGCAGACGAAAGAACCTGTTTCTCATCTCTCCAAGCTGTGGGCACCCCTGCTGCTGCCCCTGCCCCTGCCAAGGGCTACAAACTTTTCCAGCTCAAGCCCAAATCTCCTCAAGTGATGCCTATTGAAGAATTCCAAGGTAAGAGGATGGGCCTGGGGCCCCATCAGCCCTCCCCGCCACCTGTTCCCCAACCGCCACTGGAAAAAGACGGTGCAGGACAAGACGGTGCAGGACAGAGGACAAATGCCTGGCTCAGAAAACCCTCCCAGAGTAGCTGGGCCAAGGTTAAACTGAGTCTCTCTTCCCTACAGGCCTCCCTCCCCAAGGGAGCTGGGAGCAGGTGTGAGTCAGAAGCCAACTTGGGCACAGTGGGCAGGCCACACAGCGGGCAGAGCAGATGCCAGAAATAGCCTGTCCTGGCTCCCCTGGGAGGTGTGGTCCAGGGGCTCATCTCGGCTGAAGCAGAATCTGGGACACACGGGTCACCGATGCTGCTCTTTGGGACACTTAGAGGATGCCTCACCTCATTGTCTCTGGAGGGACAAAGTGAAGGGGGCAAACCCAGGTGGCCCACAGGTGGGAATGCCCACCATCTCTCATGGGCACAGGCTGTTTCTCCAGGGTCTCCCATGCCCTTGACCACTGGGTCAGTCCCTCCTTATCCCATCACAAAAAGGAAGCTGGGTCCTCTAGAGATACACAGATGGTGTTTCAAGAGGGTGGCCGGTGTCCTTCCTGGTTCAGGGGCAGCCACATTGGCTTTCTTGCTGGAGGGTGTGTGGGCGGGTGAATACTGTGTCCCTTCGTAGGAACATCAAGGGATGCCCCCCCCATTCTTAGGGATGGTGACTTTCCTTACCAAATCCTCCACTGACATTGTGGGGTTCACCTCCAGTCCCTGAGAGCCTTGCCCCAAGCTTGTCTGGTCCTCAGAGCGGAGCTGATTAGGCAGGGGTCAACCTGAGAACCACATAGGAGTGGGGTGCAGGAGGTGGCAGGACATGGTGGTGGTGGTCCTTGGTATGAAACCATGTGTTTCCAGGAGCAGCGAGTCACAAGCCGGGCCAGGGCCAGGGGGAGGCAAACAGGTTCCTGGGGCACCTGCTTTAAAGTGGCACTCACTCTTAGCATCCTGCAAAACAACCAAACTTGCAGAAAGCTCAGGCTAATAAGAAAGGGTCCAGCAGGTGGGCATTTTCCTCCCAACCATCTTCCAAAGCAGCATGGGCAGGAGCTCCTGGCCCATTGCATCTTGTCCAGCGTCCATCCATGCATTCATCCACCCGAGGACACCACAGGGAGCGCGGTGAACCCAGGCGCCGCCCTCCCCCAGTGCACAGCCAGGTGGCATGACCCCACCCTCCCTGCATGAATCACTTTCTAATCACTCCAGCACGCGGGCATCCTTCAGTGAGCACTTGGCCCTGGTGCCCAGCCAGGCATTAGCAGGTGCTGCCCACTGGCCCTCCCTGGTTCCCTGCCCACAGGGCCAGGTGGGAATCCCTGGGCTCAGCCTACTCAGGTTCTCCTCCGGGCTCAAAGCAGGGAGGCCTGTCTCTTCCTGAATCCGACAGAAGGGTTGGAGGCCTAGGGCACCATCTTTTCCAAAGATGCCTTCCTCCCTGCATGACCTGGGGTGAGTCCTTCCTTGCCCTGTGCCTCAGTTTCCCTGAATTATCACTGATCATTGATATTTTTCCTACTTGGCCGCCCCAGACTGCGAATGCTACGGTCACTCCAACCGCTGCAGCTACATTGACTTCCTGAATGTGGTGACCTGCGTCAGCTGCAAACACAACACGCGAGGTCAGCACTGCCAGCACTGCCGGCTGGGCTACTACCGCAACGGCTCGGCAGAGCTGGATGATGAGAACGTCTGCATTGGTGAGAGGGCGCGGATACGGCACAGGGAACTTGCTGGAATGCGTGCCCCCTCTGGGGCCCCCCGCATCAGAATCACCTGGGGAGGCTGTGGGAATTCTAACTCCAGGGCCCACTCCATCTCTAAGGACAGAAAGCTCCAGAAGCTACTCTATTAGTAACCTCCCCTTGCGGTTCTCCGGCAGGCACTGGAGTTGCAAAACTTACCAGTGGCCTTTCCCTCTCTGGGCAACTGGAGGGGACACTGACCCTTCCTGGTTCCAAAGAGCTGTGACTCTAGCAGGTGGCAGGCACTCAGTGGCAGAAGCCACTGAGCATCTGTCTGGGGCTGGTGTCGGTGGGGGGGTGGGGGGGACAGTCCCCCTCCATAGCTCCTTTCCAGAAGGGTGGAGGAACAGCCTATCCCTCCTCCTTGGGGGCCAGTTGGGGGCCAAAAGATGGCCTTGCTGCATACATTTGGGCAGGTGCCTTCCCCTCCCTGGGCCTTGGCTTCCTCATTCATCAAATCAGGAGGCAGATCAGATTAGTTTTCAGCTCTTTTTTTGTGGCTGAAGCTTTTCTTCAAACGCTTTACCAGCCGAGCTCCAGATATAAAGCTGCTCTTCACCCCCGGTGGGCACCCGGTCTGCTTTCTTCCAAGTTCTACTCAAGGACTGGCTTTGGGGTAGAGAAGGAAGTTCATCAGGGCCTTGGGCCTGGGCAAAGACCAAAGCCATGACTGCCAACCAAAACGCACCAGCCTGGAATAGTTGCCCCCGTCGTCAGTAGAGGCCAGGTCTCAGCCCCAGGGGCTGTCCCCCAACTCTGCCCAGCCAGGCCCCTTGGGACACCATCGCCCATCCCCCACCCAGCAGGCGGCTCTGGCTGCGCAGAGGAGGGGCTCCTGCAAAGCTGGAGCTGTCGGTTTGAATTATGGCGGCAGCCGTCAGATAATTCCATCAACTCTAAGTGATCAAAGCCGCTGACGTCACAGGGGGCCAGCTGCAGGAACAGGGCAGGGCCTTTGGATCCAATTAGAGGAGCCCCCACACTGGCACCGTCCTCCTCTCCCTGGCTCTCCCTGCCTCCACCCCCAGAGCCATCACTGAGCTGCAAGGGTTCTCAGGGTGGAGGATATTCGCCCCCTCCCACAAAGCAGAGCCCCAAGGAAACCAACTGGGCCCCCCCGGGAGCAGGAATAGGCTGTTCCTCCACTCCCCTGGAAAGGAGCTGTGGAGGAGGGCCACCCCCACAGCACAGCAGCCCCAGACATGCTCAGTGGCCTCCGCTGAGCTTCTGCCATCTGTCGGAGTCATAGCTCTTTGGAGATGGGAAGGGTCAGCGACCCCTCTAGTTGCCCAGAAAGGGGAAGGGGCTAACCCGGGTCATGCCAGAGCCAGGGCGGGGAAGGCGGGGCTGGGAGATTTTTGATCCCAGGGAAGGAAGCCGGAGTCTTCCCTCCAGGTCTGGACACCCCGGGCAGTCCCCACCCGCCGTCCAGCCGCGGGCTCACGTGGACCCAGTGTGGGGAGCATCCCCTGGGGAGTGCGGAGACCCGGCTGCGAGGCTGGGAGAGTGGGGGTCCGAGCAGATGGCGCCCACAGGTAGCCCTGACCACGTGCCCGTGTCCGTCCAGAGTGTAACTGCAACCAGATAGGCTCCGTGCACGACCGGTGCAACGAGACCGGCTTCTGCGAGTGCCGCGAGGGCGCGGCGGGCCCCAAGTGCGACGACTGCCTCCCCACGCACTACTGGCGCCAGGGCTGCTACCGTGAGTGCGCGCCGTTCCCCCGTGGGC